GTGTCTCGGATTTCTGGCTCGGCTTCGGTTTTAGATTCTGGGGTGTGTAGGGTGCATGTTTAGCCATTTGGGAGGCTTGCACTTCGCACTTCGTGAAGACCTGCTCCCCTTCAGGATTCGTCTAGGTTGCAGTTACGGTTCTGGAACATGACGCTTTGAGGGCTCAGGGTTTTGGTGCTTAGGGCTTAGGTCTTGAGGGCTATAAGGATGGTTTTAGCGTGAAGCCCTAGGGTTTAGGAAGCCCTGGGCTTTGAACCTCAACATCAAGGTGTCCAATTTCAACATAGCTTAGGGTTTAGGGTTTAGGGCTTAGACCCAGAGTCTTAATGCTCCTGGGCGAACTTCTCCGTACTAATCGCCTGGTTCTGTACCTGCCGCAGCACATGGGACTTCTCACACGCCGCCACCCTACTCTACACTGTTTAGAAAGGCTCTGCTCTGGGAAAATTAATCAGAGTCTATGGGTTCACATCGGTCTGCTTCCTGCTTCGTATACGTATGTAAGTATGTATGTATGTATGTATGTATGTATGTATGTATGTATGTATGTATGTGACTGTATATGTTTCTAATATATATATATATATATACACACACACACATATACACATATGTATGCATGTATACATATACCAATGAGTCTGTATATGCCAATACATACATAAGAGTAAACATAAAATGAATTCACACACAAACATAGTTATATATATATATATATATATATGTGCTTATGCATTTGTTTATACTTATGTATATCATGCGGTACTACGAAACTGCCGAAATTCTGTTTTGAAATGACTTCTGATGCATGATGACGTCCATTGCTGCTGCAGCTGCCACCACACCTACTACGATTACAAGCCATATTTGCATGATTGCTGTCACTGCTTCTATTGCTGTTGATGTACGCCCAAAGGTAGTACCAGGATCATCACTATTTCAGTAGGCCTTCTGTCTGATTCATATAGGGGCCTTAATAATTAGAATAGGGTTTGGGGGCCCATTATACTATATTTATAATAACGAACCCCCCCAAAATAATGTAGGTAATTATTCAGGCGTTCCTTATTATAGTTATAGTATAATATGCCCCAAAACCCCATTCTATTTATTAAGGCCCCTATATTATTAGTCCAACTCCAAGCCTTAAAAAATCAGAATAGGGGGTTGGGGGGTATACTATACTATATTTATAATAAGGAACCCCCAAAACCCTCTTCTAATCATTAAGCCCGCTACACTCGTCCAACGGAAGGCCCATTGACTGACGTTCCGCCTGCGTCTCGACAATGCTCTTGTCGAAGGCGCTGGGCAGGGCGATGTCAAGCAACTGGAGTCCCCAACCTGGCAGCCGTCTGAGGGTTTTGGGGTATATTACTATATATATATATATATAACTATAACAAGGAACGCTTGAATAATTACCTACATTATTTTTTGGGGGGGTTCGTTATTATAAATATAGTATAATGGGCCCCCAAACCCTATTCTAATTATTGAGGCCCCTATATTAATCAGACAGAAGGCCTACTGAAATAGTGATGATCCTGGTACCACCTTTGGGCGTACCGTCTGAGGGGCAAGAAACCAACGGAGTTGGACTGCAGGTTTCCTGCATAATCTAGGGGCCTTAATAATTAGAATAATAGGGTTTTGGGGACTCCTTATTATAATTTTAGTATAATATAATCCAAACCCTATTCTAATTACCAAGGCCTCTATATTAAGTTTGTATCATGCAGCTTCATAGGGCGAAGGCTTTGCAGGTTTTTGGGTGTTGGGGTGTGAAATGTTAGCTCCTTTTGTTGGGCGTAATGTAGGGGCCTTAATAATTAGACTAGGGTTTTGGGGGTTCCTGGACCCCGAAACCCTACTCTAGTTATTCAGGCCCCTACTTTAATCGGTTTACAGAGATGAGGCAGGGTCTCACGGCTCCCCACTTCTCCGAGCAATGCCTCAAAAGGCCATAACACAGCCGGCATGACACTCTGCATACCTGAAAGGCCGACACTTCAATCTTTACCTGTTTTCCTTCTTGGAGGACCGGAGGAGCTGTAGAGTTTAATACAAACAATAACTCTCCTCACCCTTGACCAGTCATGTGAATCTTACTCAGGCTGCTAGTGATGGTACATCGAACCCTAGGCGATGGCAATTTAGGGGCCTAAGTAATTCGAGCAGGGTTGGGTGCTTTGTTACTAGAATGATATGGGAGTTTCAGAAAATAGGGGACCGAAGTATAGTACCCTAAATAGTAGGATCCTTATTATAAGGATCCCCAAAATAAGGTACAGGTACCCCTAATTTTCGGAAACTCCCATATCAAGAAAGCCCACACCACCAGCCCCAAGTCGTGCGTAACTGTAACATGAGACAGCGAGCCTGGACCAAGTCAGCTTTTCTATTCAAGGACTCCCCTTACTTGCAGCCCCGGTTTGAATAGAAGTTATGTGCAGACTGGGCCTCAGTGTATTAGGGCGCTCGGAGCTATGAGCGTTACATCGGCGTTGAATGCGCGGCTGCAAGCCTAGAGGGCGTAAATGGATGAAAGCTCAGAACCTTGTAGCTTCCCCAACCCGAAACCCTCTCAGACTCTTAGCCCCATGACCCTAAACCCCAAACCCGCGAACTCAAGAGGCTCTGGACTGTAAAAACCCATAGGCCCCATAGTAGTTCCTTCTTGGGCTTCATACTTAGAGTCCTTTAAGGTAATCCCAAAAAGGAACTACTATGGTAGTTAACCCTAAACCCTAAACCAGGTACCCGAAGACCCACATCCTCGAGAAGCTTTCGGTCTTGTCTGGAGCCAAACTTCGGTCTGTGTGAGGGGCCACACAAACATAAGGATCTCCCAGTTTGGGTTTTAGGGCTTAGGGTTTAGGGGTTTAGGGGTTTAGGGTTTAGGGTTTAGTTTTCGGAAATCCTCCCTCAATGGGCCCTTATAGGTTTCGGAAATCCCCCTTAATGGGCCCTTACAGCTCAAGTTTCGGAAATCCCCATCTTAGACTATACTACAATTATAATAAGGAACCCCCAAAAATAGTCTTGGTAATCGCTTAGGCCCCTATATTATGCAAACATAGGATCCTTATGTTAAATGGGCTTTCGGGAACCCGCTGCTTTCAGCAGTGGTCTGGTGCAAATGAGCCTGAACGGCTTCGCAAATATGTACAACGGCTTTTGACGCCCTTCGTGGCAAGGGGGGGGGGTCTACATCTTCGTCTCTGTCCCAAAAATACGAAATTTGCTCTTAGTCCCTAGGGCCCAGCTTTTGGGTTTAGGATGCTATACTATCCTATACCATACTCTACTGAACCACACCATGCTACAATAGGCTATATGATAATATGTTATTTGAGGCCTCATTGCCTACCTAAGGGGCTGTGAAGGCTAAGTTGTCTGAGCCTTGATTCCAGCTGCAGGGCTTCTCTAACCTAAACTATTTACCAGTAACCCCCCCTAGTCCCGTTTCAAGGACTCCCATGAAGTACGAGATAAGAAGTACAATGACGCAGAGTTGGGGAGTCTCTTTAGCCCCTGCTCCCTCAAGACTTAAACCCCCCCCCCCCACACCCATAATGCAACATAGTATGAAGATAGACTCATAATAGAACAAATATGAGACCATGTAGTCCATGTAGTGTATGTGATCGAGCATATTATGCTATCAGGCCTAGGGTTGGTCTCAGAGGGCACAAATGGCGCGTGTACGTTGCGGCGCCCAGGGCTTCAGGACGCCTCGCGCACCGCATCTCTGAACCCCCGAAGCCTTAATCAAGCAACATATCTTCATATGGTCTAAGGCAAATATGTGAGTAGCAGGGCTGTGGACTCTCTGGGCCTAATTCTTGACTTGCTTCCGATCTTCCGTCACATGTTTCTACAGTTTTAGCATCGATCATCATGTTCCTAACCCACAGCAGCCACAGCATCACCGATTTACTGGCGTCCCGCACCTGCCCCTGCCCATTCCCCTCTCCTTCCCGCAGCAGTCTGTCAGGTCTGCGTCGGAACACACCGGCTTCAGGACATTGGACATACGTGCTCCATGAAGCCCTGAAACCCGTCAGCCCCGCCCTAAACCCTAAATCCTCAACGCATCTTAATCTTCGGTTAACAAGAACATCGGAAACCCCAAACCCTACAAACCCCTAAACCCTAAACCCTAAACCCTAAACCCTAAACCCTAAACCCCAAAAATTGAGTAGCCCTGAAAGGTCACTAAACCCCAAACCCAGCCTCCGCGCAGGGCTTCCCGAATTCCCTGGCATTCCTTGAGCACCTTGGCGTTTTCGCGCTGCAGAACCTGAGCAGGTTTTTGTTAAGAGTCATACAAGATACAGCAACATATTATGCTATATCGCAATGTAGTAGCATGTAGTACAATACAATATACTATACCAAATTAAATGCAATATAATACAATGTGTGATATCGTTTAGAATGAAATAAGGAAATCGAAACGATGAACTGCAGGGAATAGGCAAAATCGAACCCCATATAAAAGACGTAGAGACCGCAACGTAATTGTATACGCTCGACATTCAAACTTACTTGTCCTATATTCTCATGGGACTAAAAGTTCGCTTTTGGATTTATACAGCTAAGGGTTATACGTTCAGAACAGTTTAAAGTTTAAAGGTTACCTACTGTACTATCGTTGGAATGAGGTTGAAGCGGTTGCTGTATGTCGCGATTGTCGGTGCTAGGTAAATCTCGTGATTTTGCCCATTTCACATGGAAGGACTGCGGGTGCCGTACAGCGAAAAGACATACCTCGCCTTTGTGTCACAAGCTAAGTACATATAGTCCACACTGGCTGTAATCAATCCGCCTGTTGACAGGGTGTTTCGAGCATCACCATAGAAGAGCCGATAAACGACGAATCCGTTCAGGAGCTCTGGATGCTAGTGCCGGAACTTGAAACAAGTACTTCACGCACTCAGGGTCTCCACTCGCCCTACCTTTTGCTACAGGCCCTACGATTACAGCATAGTAGATTATGGCCCTGCCACCATACGGTAAGCAGACCCCTTCAAACAGCAGGCTGTTGGATCCACAGGTACGTTATGGACCCCAAGCTTGGGAAATCCGACCAGTCCAGGCACCATGATGTCCAGCGCGCGTGCCTGCCCTTTCAGAAGCATCAGGCCATGTGAGAACTCCGAAATCGTGATCTTGCCATCACCATCATCGAGGATTTCGAACCTTCATGGCTCGATACAGTTTAAGGTATAGGGTTTAGGGTTTAGGGTTTAGGTACAAGGTCCTTCGGGGTATTGGGATGAGCGGCATCCAGGCTTTCGCTCACAAGTTCCTACTGTATATTGTCACACATTTTTCTGAAACATTTCTTCATACACCTATGCATTGCTGTGTGTACTTCATGCCGAAGTTTATGCTGCGGCTATGACACATCCCAGAATTTCTGCACAGATGTAAGTCCGTGGACTCCACGGGTAGCACTTTGTATTTCATGTGGCCGCTGCGGACTGAACTGCGGAAATTAATTTCCCAAGCGGTTTAGACGAAGTCTATAGTTGTATGAATCTCAAGGACCACGGGTTTTACCCATCTGGGACTCCCGTCACAGCCTCGTTTCGACCGGAACGGCAGATTGTTTGAGACAACAGTTCATCCACTTGAAGCTGGTCGAAGCTCTTGATAGCTTGATCCCAGATCCGTCTAAACCCTGCGCCTAAAAACCTTGAAATTTGACACCCACACCCTGACTACTCCCCCAATGCCCCCTCGCCCCCAAAGACTAGAACCTTGCAAGCAGAGGCAGCCTAATGCCAGGAAAGCAACGGATACTCAGACGAACAATCAACAAAAAACGAAACATGACGAATGCTAATAGAGGCCAGCAGCAGTTGGGCGCAGTCCTGGACTTTTAGGTCGAGGGTGCTTAAGTACCTGAGCTGCGAAGCAGTGGGTTGCTGAGCCAAAATGGCGTTTGGGGCTTAGGGTTCGGGGTTTCTCAGCGAGAACCTAGGGTTAAGGGTTTTGAGCGTAGAGGGTTGAAGGTTGTCGGGTGACCGCTACAGCATGGTCACCTCATATGTATAAATATATGAATACATAGATAAATAAAGATATATATATATATAAATATATATGATATACATACATACATACATACATACATACATACATACATACATACATACATACATACATACATATGGACACATAATGTTTAGAGTTTAGATCGGGTATTATGAAACTGGCTTCGTAACTATGGCGTTGGCCTTACAACGTCGCTGTTTTTCGTAGTCCTACACGAACCCGACCTCAAGAACCCGTAGGCCCTCACACTGAACATTGAACGCGAACGGAACCCCGTGTACATACCTCAGCGCACCCATACAGACCCCACAGACAGTAAACAGTCTAGGAACTTACCCTACGCCCTCAACCCAAGAATCCGCACCAGATCCCGACCCGGCAACACCACGCGCTAAACCCTAAACCCCTAGAGGCCCTAAACCCCTAAAGACCCTAAACCCCTAAAACCCCCTACTAAACCCTACATCGAAGACCCTAAACCCCTAAACCCCCTAAACCCTAAAACGAAGACCCTAAACCCTAAACAATCTCCCAACCGGACTCCGAAAAACTGCTGCACGCTCGGGTAGCTCATGGCTTTGCTGAACTCCTCAGAGTCAGGTCGAGGCTTTGATGTTTTTTTTTTTTTGGTTTAGGGTTTCGGGGTTTAGGGTTTAGGGTTGTAGGGTTTAGGGTTGTAGGGTTTAGGGGTTTAGGGTTTAGGGTTGTAGGATTTAGGGTTTAGGGTTGTAGGGTTTAGGGGTTTAGGGTTTAGGGTTTTTGGGCTTTAGGGCATTACAGAGGCTTTGTGGGGGTACTTTGAAGGGTGTGATGGTGTAACTGGGCGTTAAGGAGGTTTTAGAAGAGTTCTGCAAGAGAGTTCTGTAAATCTTCACAGACCAGGACTGTTTTCATGATGGGTTTAGGCGAAGCTGCTGTGCTGTCCCTGAGTCGGAAACCCAAAGCCTCATAATCTCCGACATCGCCTCATTCAGACTGCCCTACGAAGAAAAGAAGAAAGCCACTGATGCTGGAAGGCATGTATAAGGCCAAGCTCACCATGGATAATCTAGTCTCTGGCCCAGAATTTGTGGAGTTGAACCTCAGCAAAGATTCGCTGAAGGAAATGGATTCGCTTCCATCGCCATCAAGAGAACGGAAGAGCTCCTCGAACTTGTTCTGGAGGCCTCGAGACAGAAAACATGCTCTAGCCCTTACGAGTAGCTACAGGGAGGGTTGACGGACTCTTAGTGGAGCTGCTTTGCTTGTCGAGTTCAGGCAGTTCCTGGTAAGCCCGGCCGGGGCTGCTCTGATGCAAAAAAACCCAAAAACCACAGCCCTCAAGCTTGAACGGCTTACAGATCTCCCAGGTCAACGCAGACTTGCGATTGCATGTCGTCGGCCTTGAAAGCCACTTCCAGTCACTCAGCCATGCTCCGCAAAATTGCAGGCTGGCTGAATTTGGGTCTGCACCCGGAATTACATAGCCAAAATCATCTTTTCTGCATGACCCCGAGAGGCCTTCTCCAATCCTGTAGAACCAGAACTACCCTAAACCCAAAACCGGTCCCGGCCCCGGGCCTTCAAACCTCAAACACCCTGCCTTGTTTAGGGTACGTCTCGGTTTAGGGTTTAGGGTTTAGGGTTTAGGGTTTATGGTGTGTTGAAAATTTCTTGAAAAGGTAGATTCTTGGGGATTCTAGGTATGACTACATGGGAAGCCACGCCGCAAGTTGCTTGAAACCCTGGCCGAAGGCCCTCCAACGCCACCCCAACACCCCAACGACTTAAACCTTTGAAACAAGAACCTGGGCTTGGTAATTTGCGTAAAGTGCTAAAACGCAGGGGCCAGGCTCACCCCTGGAACCAAAACCTGAACCGTATTTGGTCTGAAAATTTTGACATCCAAGAACCTCAAACCCAAACCAAACTCTAAGCCCAACGCCGTCGAGTAGAAACCCAGTCTCGAAGTCGGAACGGCTATTTAAAACACCTTCTAGTGCCCCATAGTCCTGGCACGCTATTCACACAAAAACCCTTACATAGAGCCCCTTTAAGGGGAACCCTTAGAAAGGACCCTAATCTAAATATAAAATCCCCACTTCCCCACACCATCCTCGGGCCATCCGCTTCGTCTCCGCCAGCTGCAACGCGGCATCGTTCGCTGCATTGGCCAATGTCTCCTGTCAGGGCTCCAGGGCTTAGGGTTTCGGCTTAAGCATTTAGGGTTTAGGGTTTACGGGTTCAGGGTGTGGCTTCAGGGTTTAGCCTAAGGTTCTCTGATAGGGGGTCTGGGGCTTACAACAAGGTTTCTTCTGGTTTAAGGCTCGGGTTTCAGGCTTGGGGCTTGAGGCGTAGGGTTTAGGCTGGTCCTTGAGGAAAATGGCTGTCACGATCCTCGTCACGGCAAACACAACGATCCTTGTGAGCGCTCCAGGGTCAGATTTAGGGCGAGAGGATTTTTAGGGCCCGGGGGAAAAGGGCCCGTGAAGTGGTGATCTCCTTCCAGGACCTCGTTTGCCGATGAGGGAAAAACCTGAACAGTCGACCGAGCCTAGCGGAGAAGCCCTGGACAAAAAAAAAGCACATGCTCATGTCGTCGCCTGACCGGCACCCGCTCAATTCCCCGTGATCCACCAAGACCCTGACTTTTACTGCCCTAGCCTATTTTGCCGGATAACTTATTCTCGTAAGAGAGCAAGGCAACCCACAAACTACCACAACTGAGCCTCTGGGAACACCTTTGTTTAGTTTTTTTGTTTAGGCAAACTCCTGATAAGCACTGTAACACTTTGCAAAACGCACGTCCTCAGGGCTTGTGGAATCAAACACCTCCTAACTGACGTCCAAGCCCTAAGCTGCAGGCCCAACATGCGGCACACCCCAATTGCACGAACACATCCGAAGACCCTGTAAACACCACAGAAAAACAACATGTCTTCGCAAGAAACGCGAAACCCTAAACTGCAGGCCATGGCACGTGATATAGCACAAAAACGGAATGGCATACCAGTGGCTAACTCTCTCGACGACAGGTCGGACTCTGACAATCCATCCGCCGGAAAAGGTCAACTCGAAGACCGTGTACCTGATAAATACATAAACATGCCCAAATGAACTGGTCGGAAAAAAAACAAATACATATGCATGTGCAGACACATGCACAGATGCGTACGCGTATACATTTGCACATACATGTACATATACATATATGCATATATGTACACACATACATGTATGTGTATGTGTATGTGTATGTGTATGTATGTGTCTGTATATGTGTATGTGCATATATGTGTATGCGTATGCACGTGCACATGCATATGTATATGTATATGTATGCTTGCATGTATGTATGTATGTATGTACGTATGTATGTACATATGTATGTTTATGTTATATATATGTATATATATATATATGCTGAACATAGGTCAGAAGATGTGCCATTCAACACAGGTCCTTGATCATTTCGCTGTGTGCCCTGTGGTTGAAGAAACTAAACATGCATGCACATTGTTCCTTTGTATTAGTTCATAAATCAAACGCACGGCACCAAACGATGAAAAGACATGCGTCTGTTTCTCTACACTTACCTCTTTTCGTTCCTTTAGTTTGCGTTGAGTCTTTCGCCGCTGCAATCCATCCCATCTGTCCGTCTTGCTTCCTTCATTGTTTAGGTTGAATAACAAAAACCAAACTAGGCGTCGTCAACGTTTCGCATCCAGTTCTTATGTTGAAAAGACAAACAAAGCTGTCGGTTTGCTGCATCTGGCTGTCCAGCACACGAAAACAGTAGATCCTTGAGGGGGTGCATCCATACATAAATAAATATATACATATGTATGTATAATGTGATGTATACAGACCGTGTCTTCTTAAGCGTTTTCAAGTTGTTGCTTAGGATTCAGGCCGTCAGGTTTTTAGCGCTGTGAAACAACTTTGTTTGCTTGTCGGAGTTCACAAGTATCTGGTCAGGCCCTAATTTCAACTCCAAAGAACAACCTTGACTTCTAAACCTGCCTGCTAAGAGTTGAAACACATTCAGGGCAATCTGTCATGAAGCTGGGATTGCGTCCGGAATCAGGGCCTGCAAACTGGGCCGACAACCTCAACAAAAAGGTGCTTGACGGTCGACATTGATTGTGGTGCTCGGCTCCCCCTCAATGATTGTACACACCGGCTGGACGCCCACCTGGACTACAATGCTAAAGTGCAGTGAAAATGGCAAGCGCGGGGCCTCCCCTCACTCAAATTAGCATTGTACAAACCAAAAAATCGCGGTCCCACCGAATCCGATTTGGGTCGCACCGTGACGAAGAGCTCGGACCCACCAGTTCCCACCAAGCCCCTGTCCATTGTATAGGGCCACCGAGCCACACCCGACTGTGCACAGGATGCCACAGCACAGATTTGTTCCGCAACCCTACTTCTGAGCATTTGCGAATGAACTATCATGCGGTGTGAAAAACGTCAGAAAGAGCCCTGGTACACCTGCAACAGCAGGACGCGTCGTGACACGCGCAAGGCTGGTATTTTTCAGGGCGCGACTTTGCGTCCAGAAAATGCTCATGCTTCCGGCTTCAACATAGCTTGCCTCCATAGTATTGCTACCGAAACCCTAAATGCTACCAGAAATCTCCGAGACACAGGGCCCGGCCGAAACTGCCGTAGAGGCCGCTTATCGTCATTCGAGTCTCCAGATCTTGCTGCTCGTCCATGATGAACTCCTTTAGGGTTTAGTGTTTAGTGGATAACTACTGATGTAGTGTTCGCTTCTGTTCTCAACCGCAACCGTATCACCAGGATTGCTCCACAATCTTTGTCATGCTTCGTGAAACTCTGAGAGCCTGTTTGTGTCTGAGGATGCGGGCTTACTTTTTGTGAGTCTTGGTAGCCTCCCATGCTCTAAACTTCCAGCTTGCTACCAGCCATAGGCTAACAAAACTGTCATAAGGGTTCCGTAATGGTTCCCATGTTTGGTTACAAGGTTCAGGGCTTCATCTTACTGCTGGCCCGCTCCTGCTGTTGCTATGAGCTACGACATTAATCATGCAAATCGTTCTGCAGCTACATGCTCTCTTACTAATCTATATACCCCTACTGCGGTTGGCAAACATCTCGTCAGAACGATTCCACAACCCAACAGCCCTGCCCCCATGAATTCCAGACCGCAACACGAGAACCCTAAACCCTATACTCTTTAATTCAAGGGTAACTACTGGGCTCTAAACCCTAAACCCTATACCCTAAACCCTACCCGGCCTGCAGCGACTGGCAAATAATGATCGTGAAGCCCAGCTCCAGCAGCACCATCAAGACCAGGGACCAGAATCTCAGGTGCGCTTCATGGTTCACCCGTAGGTGTTAGCCCCTCAGCGACTCATAAACGAGCTAAAGTCTATAGAGTACACGAAGAGCTGACATAATTCCACCCGAGCTGCAAAGCGCTCAGGGACGAGATGCATGCGCTGATTAAGACCCGCAGCTGCCGAAACAAGCTCACCTGGAGTTCAGGTCTGATGATTTGAGTCTACCCATAGGCCCCATAGTAGTTCCTTGTTGGGATTACCTTATAGGATTCTATATATGAACCCCAAAAAGGAACTACTTTAGGGCCTTGGGTATAGAGAAGATCGTGGGGCTAGGGTGGTTGAGGCCGGCGGACCAAATCCTGAAGGTTGGAATTTTGAGCGATGCAGAACCCTAACCCTCCAGGTACCTACTATATAGGGCCCCAGGGGCTCTAGTACCCTATATAGTAGGTACCTACTATATAGGGCCCCAAAGGCTCTAGTACCCCTACCCTAAACCCTAAACCCTAAACCCTAAACCCTAAACCACTAAAAACCCTAAAAACCCCAAAAACCCTACTATATAGTAGGTACATGGGAGGTTAGAGGAAGCTCCGACTTCCGACATCTTCCGCTGCGCCAACATCTTCATCTCACTCGAAGCTGCCCGGAAGCCATCGGGGCTTGGTAAGCGGTTTAGGGTTTAGGGCTTAGGGTTTAGGGGTTTAGGGTTTTTAGGGTTTAGGGTTTAGGGTTTAAGCGTTCCAAACATACACCAATTTAATATTCCTTGCGATGCAAACAGGCACATCCAATCAACAGGAAGACCCTTTCCAAAAGGCACTTAGCCCTCGTATAATTATATGACCATGGCCACGATTGAAGTCTGCGTTTCTGAAGTATTCTCCGTTCCAAGCACGGGACTTCACATACGTCACTGAAGACCAGGCTCAAATTACAACAGGCTTGCTCTCACAGTCTGTGCAACTCAAGCCGAGGCTCCTCTGAACAAGGGTTCCGCTTCGGGCATGTAGTACAAAAGCGGTGTGTTCTTGCGAGTATCCTACAAGAGTCTCAGTATGGGAGCAGGGGGTGCGACTCTTGAGCCTGCGGTGCCATCATCAACGTTGTCTACAAAGATGCTGGAAGCTCCCTCAATTTGCTGCTGCCGGGCTGCACGGGTCGGACAGTGCCGCCCCGACACTGAACCCCTAAAAACCAAAAGCATCAACCATTGGAGAGTCTACTTGGAGGTTCATGGGTAGTTAGAAGTGGAGTTATAAGTCCCCTAATATAGGTTATAATTATAGTTACCCTACTTATAACCCTACTTATAACTACCCATGAACCTCCAAGTAGGTGCTTCAGAAGTAACTTCAGGCAGGCAGCGGTCTTCATGATTCGAACGGTGAGCACCAGCCGCAACAGTTTCCAAATGCGCAGAGCACTAACCTGCGACTCATTGAAACAAAAGGAGAGCGTATGGCTCAGGGCGTGGGGTATTGCGTGGGTTAGGATTCCAGAACTTGACCTCCATCATGCGCCCCCGGACACACACACACACACAAGTAGATCACCTTGCCGCTTCGCGGGTTTAGGGTTTCGTGAAGTTAGGCTTGGTTCTATGCGAGTAGTTTCACGGCTTGAGCCCAGCTAGGTGATGTAGGGGCTTCCACAGCTAGCACAGGACTTTGGGACATGCCATGGCATCGTATAGCTATATATCGGGCTAATAAGGAGATGCTCTTACCAATAACCCCGACGGGGAGGTCTGAGAGCCACTGCGTTCAGGGCTGTTTGGGCAATAGAGGGGCCTTCGGCTTGGAATAGGGTTTTGATGTTTAGGGTTTAGGGGTTTAGGGTATTATAACTTCGGAGCCACATTATTCCGACCCCTGAACCCTAATATAGGGGCTTTCATAATTAAAATAGGGTTTGGGGTACAATATACTAATAACTACAGTAAGGAAACCCCAAAACCCCATTCTAATTGCTAAGGCCCCTACATTAAACCCCCCCAACTACCCTCTAATATACCCCAAATACCCACTATTAGGGACCATAAGGGCTCTATTAAAGGGCCATTGGGGGGTCCTGGTACATTAAACCCCTTGTTCGAGCCCCGGTCTCCGAAAGATTTCTGGCCGCTGGAGCCCCTAGCCTTCAGGAACCACCTAGGGTTTAGGGTTTAGGGTTTAGGGTTGAGGGTTTAGGGTTTAGGGTTTAGGGTTTAGGGTTGAGGAAACCCCGCTGTTGCTGGTGAGGGCCTATCGGCCGTCTGTATACAAGTCTAAATGTGCTATCTCTGTCTATCTATCTATCTATCTATCTAATCTACTCTACTCTTGTCTAATCTATCTATCTATCTGCCTATCTCTAGGTACATAGAGATAAACGGGTCTGATGTTCAAGCGCTGTGAAGACTGTAGAAACCTAGGTCAGACTTAGACTAAGGGGTTTGGGATTTAAGGGTTCAAGGGTTTAGGGCTTAGGGATTTACGGTTCAAGGGTTTCGGAGTTTAGCGTTTAGGGGATGGTGCATGAGCTGCATCCACGGAGGCACCGAATCTGCCAAACCCTAAACTCCAGGGGATCTCAGAGCACCAACCTTTGAATCAAACCATCCGCATGTTCAGAACCCTTGCCTTATCATGCCTACATATCTCCTAAAAAAAGCATGGCATAGTAATTACGGCAAAGTATAGTAATATAGTATACTATATCGGATTATCGTATGTTCCAGTATAATAATAGCAGAATTGAAACAATTCGTACTGTCGTAAGTAGCGCCTGCTGGTATGCGTTGCCGCTGCTAGCCAACCTCGGCACCCAGAAACGCAGGATTCAGTGGCTTCGGGGGCTCCCGGGCTGCATTGAATTTCGAAAGTAGGGTTTAGGGTTTAGGATTTAGTTGAATGAATTCGCAACGAGGGTTTAGGGTTTAGGGCTTAGTGAATTCGGGATTCATCCAGTGGACCCAGCTTGCCCCTTCTCTTGGTGTCCATACGGACTGCGTGCGGCTTTAGGCTTGTGATGCCGCTTGCAAGCTACTTCCAAGACTCCCTGGAAACGATTTACTTCCGAATAAACTCTAAACATAAACTCGCCAACAGCAATCCAAACAAAAACGCGATGGAGCACACCAACAGCAACAAAGAACCAGCGAACAACTGCCAACACAAAAACCAGCGAAACCACAAAAAAATAGTAACACCCCGATGCCCCGCAGTCTCCAGCCCTGGAGCGCTTTGCTTTTTACTCTTCTACCCATAGGACCCATAGTAGTTCCTTTTTGGGGTTCATATTTAGAATCCTATAAGGTAATCCCCAAAAGGAACTACTATGGGGCCTATGGGTATAGGAAGGAGCCTGCAGCCGTGCCGCAAACCTGATTGCGGAGGCTCTGCTGTTCTTAAGTCTCATGTTCAAGATGCAGATCGAAGTCCCCACCCCGAAAGAACGCCAAAATCGATTTCGAGCCGACCACCTCCATGCAGGCAACGCTCGCGGAAGTCACTAGCGAACGGCAACTGTGAACATTAAACTCATAAGCTAAATTCAATCTTGATTCGAGGGACCCAAAGAACCTTCCAAAGAACCCTAAACCCTAACCCCTAAAACCCTAAACTTCGAGTTCATGGAACTTGCAGCCAGCCAGACACGGCAAAAGGGTTGGGAGCCGCTTTCTTTCGTCCATCTTCTGTAGTTCTATGGGTAGTTCTCTAAACTAAGGTCCCTTTTTTAGGTCCCCAATGTAGTACGGCACCCATATAAAAGGACTCCAAAAGGGCCCCCAATTTAGAGAACTACCCATATGTTCACATGCTTCATAGCCACGCGATCAGCACCTCTTCAAGCCCAAGGCCGAATTTGGATACGGTCGAGCTTTATATTAAGAAATCATATTAAACAAGAAATGAGACTCGGGTTGCCGCAACAATGAACTTATCTGAGACTCGGAGTGCCCCAAAAATGTTGTATTTGAGACCCTGAAAGCCACCAAC